CAATGACTCACATCAGAACGTGTCTACAATAAATGTTACAATTGTGGAGGAGACTACCCACATCAAGGTAATGTTGGTCCCGCTCAAGGTAAGAAGTGCTGTGAGTGTGGAAAACTAAGTCATTTTGGTGCTTTGTGTTGTTCCGCACTAAAGAAACCACAGGCTGTGAACATGAGTAATGTCCGAGGGTCAGGTCATAGGGGTCGAGGTGGCAAACACAATACTGCACCTCATATCCAGAATGTTAATAATGTATAAAACATATCATTACAGCCAATCTCAGATGACAGTAAAAGGGATTATACTTATGGAATACAAGCAATCACGGAATGGAATAATTTTCCAAACAACCCAAAGACTATAGTATACATTGCTGGTATTTGTCTCAAAGTTCTCATTGACACTGGATCAAACACTGACACCATTGCTGAGTGCCACTCTGACAAATTCAAAAAACAGTTCCCAAAGCTTGAGAACTACAATGCTAAAACCACTGCCTATGCTTCAGAGGTAGCCTTGCCAGTGATTGGAACTTTCACTGCAGAGATTACATAAAATAATTCAATGCTCATTACTACATTACATGTTGTCAGAAATACAAAGGAGTCCCTGCTTAGTTACAACACTTCAACCAAATTTGGGCTTCTCCAGTTTTTTAATGCTATAGCAGTGGAATCTGCAAACATTGTTGATGCTATTGTTGCTGAATTCTCTGATCGATTTGAATCCATAGGTTGTTATGCAGATATACTTTGCTATCAGTATATCAACCCAGATATAATTCCAGTTGCCCAACCCCATCGCCGACAGCCATTCCATACTCGCCAGAAAGTCGATGCCGAACTGAATAGGCTGATGGAACTAGATATCATTGAACCAGTAACAGGCCCAACACCATGGGTAAGCCCAATTGTCACTCCACCAAAGCCGAAGAATCCAGATGAGATACGCATTTGTGTGGACATGCGTGTTCCCAACAAGGCAATAATGCGTGAACGCCATCCTACACCCATTGTAGATGATATGATCTACTGCTTGAATGGTGCAACTGTATTCAGCAAGTTAGATTTAAACAAGGGCTATCATCAGCTTGAACTTGATGAGGAGAGTCGCTTCATCACAACGTTTACGACACATCAAGGTCTGTATAGGTACAAGCGCCTGAGTTTTGGCATCAACAGTGCTGCCGAGGTATTCCAGCACATCATCAGCCAGGTATTGCAAGATATACCTAATGCTGACAACATGTCTGATGACATCATTGTTTATGGCCGTACCCAAGCTGAACACGACAAAGCTCTTCGTGCAACATTGCAACGCTTACGAGAAAAGAATCTGACGCTAAGCCGAGCAAAGTGTGAGTTCAATCAACATAAAATTAAATTCTTTGGACATGTACTTAGTGACAAAGGTCTGTCTCCAGATCCTAAGAAAGTTGCAGATATCAAGAATGCTGCACCTCCTTCAACGTCCACTGAAGTACATAGTTTTCTGGGAATCGCAAACACCTGTTCTCGCTTCATTCCAAATTTTGCTACCATTACCAAGCCTCTACGTGAGCTCCTGAAGAAAAATGCATCATGGTACTGGAGCAATATCGAGCCAAATGCATTTGATGCTGTGAAAGATGCACTAGTAGAGAATGCAACTGCTGCGTACTTTGACCTATCAATGGACACTGAGCTAACGGTAGATGCTAGTCCTGTTGGTTTAGGTGCTGTTTTAGCCCAACACAAACCTGGTCAACCAGATTCCAGAGCCTACACCAGCCGTTCTCTCACAGATGTTGAGCAACGATGCCGTCAAACAGAGAAGGAAGCTCTTGCTCTTGTATGGGGCTGTGAACACTTCAATGTGTATCTGCTTGGTGCACTCTTCACCACGGTAGTCACTGAGCATAAGCCGTTGGAGACCATGTTCAGTAATCCAAAGTCCAAACCACCAGCTCGCATTGAGAGATGGGCTCTTCGTATGCAACCATACAACTTTACTGTGAAATAAAGGCAGGCAATCCTGCTGATTACATCAATCGACATCCTGCCAACAGTTTCACCATCAACAAGCATCAGCAAGTTGCCGAGGAATATGTACACTCTGTAACCTGTGATGCAGTCCCTAAGGCTCTCACTCTTGATGAAATCCGTACTGCAACCCTAGAGGACCCAACTCTGCAAGCAACAGTGGATACATTGACCAAGAAAAAGTTTCCACGCATCCCACACTCAGGAGTTGACTAAGATGCTTTCAAAGCTCTTGAACGTATCAGACAGAATAAAGTGTTACACAACAAGGTGACACCGTGCTGCGAGGTACACGTATTGTCATTCAAGCAGTTCTCCAGCAGCGAGCTCTGAAGCTTGCATATCAAGGACACCAAGGTCTTGTTAGGACCAAACAGCAGCAACGAGAAAAGATGTGGTTTCCTGGCATTGATCGTCAAGCAAAGGACATGTATGATGCCTGTGTCCCTTGCCAAGCTGCAGTGGATACTTCAAGACCAACACCTCTAAAACCTTCACCATGGACGGAAGTATCGATGGACTTCTGCGGACCGCTAACAACTGTAGAGTACTTGATGGTAGTCATTGATGATCACTCACGTTATCCAGAAGTAGAAATCATCACTTCCACATCTGCAAAGGCTGTCATCCCGAAACTCGACAAGATCTTTTCAAATTTTGGCATTCCTGAAGTTGTCAAGACGGACAATGGACAAGACTTCTACAAGACTTGCTGAACATATTGGATTCAAAAACCACCATGTGATGCACTACATCCTCAGGCATCTGGAGACATCAAGAGATTCATGCAACCTCTCATGAAAGCAGTACGCTGTGCTCATGCCGAAGGACGATCCTGGAGACAAGCTATGTATGCTTTTCCCAGGAACTATCGTGCAACACCGCGTAGAACACTGGGCAAGTCACCTGATGAACTCTTATTTGGACGTCCTATGAGGATCGCACTACCTGTCATGGCAGCTGAGGTAACGGATAAACGTCTCGCTCAGAAGGATGTACTAGCCAAAGGCAAAATGAAAATTACTCATGATCAACGTGCAAAGGAAGAATTCATTAAGGTTGGCGACTATTCTAGTTAAAAAGAAAAAAAAGAGGGAAAGCTAGATAAGCCATATGATACAAAACCATATAAAGTGATTAGTGTAAAAGGAACTATGGTAACAGCTAGTAATAGAGATCATAGTATAACACGTAATATATCTTATTTCAAAGTGATTCCAACTAGTGTAAAAACTGATGAAGTGCAAAGTCGTACAAATGATAAAGACAAAATGAGTTATAACTCAAAAAGAGTTATAACTGTACGACGCCTGGCGCGCACATCGCCTTGAGTCATGGGATTGTTGATAGATTTTTTTTTACGTGTTCTGACTGGTTCTCCCGGCAGAGTGACGGTGTCTGGCGCCGGCCGACAGGTGCCGGGAGTTGGTGGGTCTTGGTGGGCTCCTGGTGAGGTTTAATTCCCGTAGCCTTTCCTCGTAACTCACACCTCTGGGCACTGGGACTAATCTGGTGGCATACCATTGAATCTTCTCTAACTTTGTCTGGTGTTTAACTAGGTATGGACTTCAGGCTGGAGCTGCATACTCCAAGACTGGTCTGATATATGTGCTAAACAAGGTTCTGAATGATTCCTTAAACAAGTTTCTAATGAAAATTCTTATGTTGGCCAATCTAACACATGCCACAGATGATACACGTTTGACGTAGGCTTTTGAGAACAGGATCGTAATGAAATCAACCCCCAGATCTATCTCTTTACTTGACCCTTGAAAGATTTCAGCTCCCAGATGGTACCTTGTTTTCGGCCTCCTGCTTCCTTCACCTAATTTCATGACATTATACTTGCATATGTTAAACTTTTTCTGTACCATTCCTACAGTTTGTCCAGGTCGTCTTGTAGTCTCTTTCTATCTTCCTCTTTCTCGACATTTATGGACAGTTTACTTAACTCACTCTGATTGAATTGTCGGTCTAAGTTCATTCAATCAAGAGGAATTTCATACAAAGAATCAGGTGGCGACGAATGTACATCACTCTGGTAACCTTCTCCGGTTTTACAATACTCTGATGTTTAAGACATTCTCGGATACTCTGAGTGCAGTCATTTACCTCTGAAGGAGATCACTTGATTTCATTTAAATTCTCTACAAATCAAGTCACCTGAGAATCGTGATTGATATTCATCTACCATGACCGTGATTCTGTAGACGATCTTGTAGCATGAGAGTCGTATCGAGTTGTCATGCGGTACTCTGCACTAGTGGCCATATAGCTTGACTGACGCACTTCTGATGTAGACAAACTCTGGATGCAGAATGACTGGCAGGCCCAAGCTAGGCTTCACTGACTTTCCCGCGGGTACAACAGTCCAGTTTATGGTCCAGTTTATGAGTGGCTAATGAGATACAAGTAATGGTGCCTGATCCAATGAAAAGAGATTACTCACGTCAGTTAGGGCCATGACATCATGGATACGTCATGACATCATGGATACGTCATGGCTGAGGCCTACGGCAGTTGAGTAATTATAGATGGTCGACCCTTATTTCTCCTCCTCCTAACCACAAACCTGAAAATTTCCCTCTGACGCCTTCAAGGTGATGAAGCCGCGAGGTGCTAAACAACTGATGTATATATGTTCAGCAGCTCTAATTAATTGGGGACCAGGCATACAACCACACTTGTAATATCTTTGGTGTACTGATTATGTGGGCTGTCTGGAATTACCAAATATGGCAGATTTAAGTTCCTAGTTAAAGAATTTCGACTTGTGTGTACTATTAGTGCACACACGAGAGTTCACACTGATTTATACAGTCATACACTTTATACAACTATGACAGCTGTGAAAAATCATTTTCTCAGAGTACAAGTACTGGAGAGCAAACGAAAGGCCGCGAGGAACACATAAAGAAAGGTGAAAGGTTGAGAACACTGGGCATGGCGTCAGGTGTAAAATAATGTCTCTTACTGTACCTTGGTGACGATGACGACACAGTTGTAGTGTGGTGCGGGTCGTGAGTGGCGTCGGCGTCATGGGAACGACCCAGCCCGGGAGAACTGACAACTGCAGCATCCTGCAGTACCTCCTGGCTGGCAGTTCTCCCTCTTCCAGGTAGATCCAAGGGCTCCATGTTGGCATGGCAATGGGACGGGAACCACACCTGAAAGAATAAATACTTGTAGTAGAGGAGAGGAGAGAACGGCCATGGTCCGTTCAGGCCATGGACGGACCATGTGGACGGGGATGGTCTGTGCAGGCCATAGACGGTGGACCATGTGGATGGTGAAGGTCCGAACAGGCCATAGACGGTGGACCATGTGGACGGTGATGGTCCGTGCGTACCATTGACGAACCATGTGGACGGTGAAGGTCAGTAGTAGGGATGAAGCGCCAGCTGTGATTTTTTGTTTTGGCCCCGGAAAATAGCCTCCGTAGCGGTGATTTTTTGTTTGGGGAAAAAATCCTCTGTGAGTCACAGGGTTTCCAGGTCAAAAATCCTCCATATGGCACAGGGATTCCAGGTAAATTTGGCCAGTCACTGATTTGGAATTACAGAGTTCTTATGAGAAAAATAATTTCCGAGATCTTAGAAGTTTGTTAAGAGTGTTAATGAGGAAAATAATTTTGGAGATCTTAGAAGTTTGTTAAAAGTTCTTAAAGGAGAAATGATTTCAGAATTCTTACCGAGAATAAACATCATAAACAGTTATATTAGACCGTATACGTTTAAGTAGAAATTCTTACCTACAAACGAGTATGTCTAAAACTGTAGCTTTAGCAAGCTACATAAGATGTCATTAATTACCCAGCCATCCCCCTCGCACTCCCCGCATCACCTTACCTCTCACCCTCTCCCTTCCTCCCCCCTTCCCTCCCAAACCCCCTGCATCACCTGTTCCGACCTCACCACCCTAATCTTATCTTAGTGTCGCCGTAATATCTGGACCTCTCTACCTGTTTCCTTATGCCTCTCCTTCATTATCTTGATATTGTTTATTCATAATTCCATACAACTATTTTAGACATCGTAATGTTAGTTCCTTTACATTAAACGAGTCAGTTTTACACAAATCAACCGAGTCAGTAAGCAAGTTCTAGCTCCTGTCCCTGCCTTAGTCCCCTGTCATATATTGAAAACTAACAGTACAATTCCCTGAAATTTTAAACATTCTTTTTCAGACGTAGTAAATCAAATCAATTCAGTAAGCAAGCTCCAGCTCTTGTCCCCGCCTTAGTCCCCTTTCGTAGATTCATTACTAACAGTCCAGTCCCCCAAAGAACCATTATATTTCGTACATAGAAAAATAGATCTGAACACTTTTCGTGTGCTAGCTCCTGTTCCCCGCCTTAGTTTACCAATACAACTTCTTTAGTATCCAATCAATTTCTTCAAGATTTAAAACATAGCCATATTTCAAACGTAGTACAATACAATAATTTAGTTACCGAGCTCCAGCTCCTGTCCCCGCTCCGTAGTTCCCTCGCGCATCTTCGTTAATAACCCATTAATTTTCATGCAATTTAAACCCGCCTTACTTCTAACTGAGTAAGTAAAGATAACACTTTTACCGAACTCTAGCTCTTGTCCGCCGCCTTAGCTCTCTCTCGTATCTTCGTTAATAACCCAACAGTTTTCCTGAAATTTAAAATATCTGTATTTAAGACACAGTAAATAAAGCCAGTGCAGTTACCGAGTTTCAACTCTCGTTCTCTGCCTAGCTCATTTGTACAAGTTCTTTAGTATCAGACCAAATCTCTGAGATTTAAGATCACCATATTTCTAACTTAGTAAAATAAATTAGGACGTTAACCGAGCTCCATTTCCTTTCTTTCACCTTAGATCATCAAACATAAATATTTCTGATCAAGTCCCTCTCCAGCCTAACTCTTTATCAGAGTAAACACCTAACCGCGCCTGCGTAATTATCTTTTCACCCCGTCCCGCCTTCCTCCTTATCTTCCTCCCTAACCCCCTCCACCCCCCTTCCCCATCACATCCAGGTCTCATAAATTTTAAATGTTGCTGTTAATTTACATTCTTTCCCCGTTCATAGCATATTCTCTGAAAGTTCAGATCAATACTTAGTCTTACATATTCTCTAGTTCTTTCCATTTTATATAAGACTTAAATAACTATTACCGTGTATCCTATCATATTTTAACATGACTCATATGTAAATATACCCAATTCCTTCCTTCCATTACAAGTCCCCACATGTTCGCCTCGCATCTCACTACATTTTCTTACTTACATGTTCTAGCATGTGTTCCGCACATCTCAGTACCGACGCTTACAATCTCTCTCAATCCTTTACACGTTCACACATGTTCTCCGCCTAAAGTTTACAATTGTTCTCCATCCCTCCACTACATGTTCTTACCTGTTCATTACAGTCCCTTTCATGTTCTCTGTACAACTTTTATACTCAATATTCATGTTCACTGTGTTCATCAACTTTTCTTTCATGTTTTCTGTGTTCTTTGTCATGTTCCCCATATGTTCTCTGTGTTCGCCATATTCTCTTACATATTCTTTAAAATCACATGTACCAAGACATTCTTTTTTTAACGTTCCTTAACTAAAATCATTCGTCAATCAACTAAAAACATAGTCACTTTCGTCATTTCTCAACTAAACTTATTATCCAATCAACTAAAAATAGTCAGAATTAACCTCGTTCAATATTGTTCTTAATTAAAATGACCGTTCTCTTAGCTATAAAATTGTCAAGGAAACTTCTTTTTAACTTTTATGAAGATACATGTATTTTAAAAATTATGGAGCTCCCACCCCGTACAGACTGAACGACAGAGCAACTCTCTCTCAGATCAATGTTTATTTCACGTAAATTCGTTAATAAACACAAATGTTTTATGTCTTAAGCAAGATAGAAATAAGAGCTTCAGTTTAAATACATTACAATAGACATATTTATAGCTCAAGTGAAGATACATATGTTTTTATAGTAGCGCTCAGTAGCTTGTCGGGCATGGAGTGCAGACGCCTACGCACTTGCCGATATATTGTATAATTAACAAAGATACTCTAATAAAGCCTAAAATTTTATATGCCTCCAGAAAGACCGAGATATGAACATTATTATGATTGCACCAAATGAAATATATCATGTTCGAGAACAAAGATATATCAATTTTAAATTAAGTTTCGACTCTTGCTCGGGCGAGAGAGATGGGGGCGACTCGCCCCATCTATTGGAGATTCTGTCCACTAAAGACCCAAAGCTACTCAAACCCTCCAAGCATTATTTAAGTAATGAAGTAATATGGTATATTAACTCACTATAATGTGGGTGCTGAATGCAGAACATGAGAAAACATATATTTACTCCAAACTTATATAATTTCATTATGAAATAAGTAGCATCAAAGGAAGTCGACGGTCCAAGCGTCAATGTTATGGAGCGACTTATCCAAGATATATCGTTGTTTGGAAAGTGTTTGTTGGCATATCCAGTTGTCGCACTTCTCTGCACAAATTATCACAAATTTAAATTATAATGTTAACAAGTAGAATACGTATTTTTAATAAAATCTAGCATAACTAGCCAGAAAACATTTAACATTTATTAAAAAATATATGTTTGGAAGTTAAATCGACTTCATAGGACAATAGTTTTGTTATATATACTCGTTATTCGTTGACATGCGTTCGCAACTTAAACTACCATGTACTGTACTTATGTGAAATCTCCCATGTCTCTTCGCTCATCTCACCGAACCCTACAGGCTCTGTGATATATTGTTTAATTAATTGAGATTCACAAATATAGCTTATAATTGTATATGTTATCAAAAAGGCAGAGCTTAGTTTAGTTCATTTATGATGCACCCCATACCCATCCTATGAGCGATAATGGAGTGTTACAGTGGCACACAATGGGCTCAGGGACTGAGCCCCACAATTCATATAGCCAAACAAGTTATAATCTTGATAAGCTAGTTACAAAAGTCAATGCACATTGTCACATCAACAATGGGCTCGAGACCGACCACAAGTACAGTTTATAATTTAAGCAACTGACATATATGGAGGGCTAGTGTCACAATTGATATGTTTATCCTACACATAACCCCCTCTCCCCCATCCAATGGGCAGCGGTGGATAGGTTACAATCAAGTCGTTTTTTGCGTTTTATTCAGAGATTAGATCTTATTGGGTGAGGAAAGATATTCATATTTAAGAGAAGGCTTCTTGGCTGATGCTCTCCATTGATGGAAAATATACAACCTTTTGAAAATCAATGTTAGTTTGATCTAGATATTGTAATTAACGAAAGTATTTATGTCATCAGAAAGGTAGAAATATAGGCTACATTTAAACAGGCCATAGATGGACCATGTGGACGGTGATGGACCGTGCAGGCCATGGACGGACCATGTGGACGGTGATGGTCCGTGCAGGCCATGGACGGTGAAGGTCCTTGCAGGCCGCGAACGGTAAAGGTCCGTGCGGCCATGGACGGTGATAGTCCGTGCAGGCCATGGACGGTGAAGGTCCTTGCAGGCCATGGACGGTGATAGTCCGTGCAGGCCATGGACGGTGAAGGTCCTTGCAGGCCATGGACGGTGATGGTCCGTGCAGGCCATGGACGGTGAAGGTCCTTGCAGGCCTTGGACGGTGATGGTCCGTGCAGGCCATGAACGGTGATGGTCCGTGCAGGCCATGGACGGTGATGGTCCGTGCAGGCCATGGACGGTGAAGGTCCTTGCAGGCCTTGGACGGTAATGGTCCGTGCAGGCCATGGACTGTGAAGGTCCGTGCAGGCCATGGACGGACCATGTGGACGGTGATGGTTCGTGCAGGCCCTGGACGGACCATGTGGATGGTGATGGTTCGTGCAGGCCCTGGACGGTGGTGGTCCTTGCAGGCCATAGACGGTGAAGGTCCGTGCAGGCAATGGACGGACCATGTGGACGGTAATGGTCCGTGCAGGCCATGGACGGTGATGGTCCGTGCAGGCCATGGACGGTGAAGGTCCTTGCAGGCCATGGACGGTGATGGTCCGTGCAGGCCATGGAAGGTGATGGTCCGTGCAGGCCATAGACGGACCATGTGGACGATGATAGTCCGTGCAGGTCATAGACGAACCATGTGGACATTGATTGTCCGTGCAGGCCATAGACAGACCATAAGGACGG